ATAATAATATAATAATAATAATAATAATTGATTCCAGATGCCTTCACTACTTTAGCACGAGCGCAAAACTGGAGACCCATAGCGAGGATTGCGAAAAAATTAACGATTGTGCGATAAGGCTGCCGAGCGAGGACGACAAATGGCTGAGCTTCCGCAACCACTGCAGGAAAGAGCGCGTCCCGTTCGTAGTCTACGCCGATCTTGAGTGTGCGTTGGAGAAAACGGATAGCGGTTCACAATCCGTTACGCACACGTACCAGCATCACAACGTCTTCAGCGTAGGTATTACGTGCAATGTTCCTACGACAGCTCACTGTCGGGCTATCGTTTCCGCCGCGACAAAGACTGTATAGCGTGGTTCGCGGAAGACAGTTAGCGCATAGTGTACAGACGATAATTTTGGCCAATGTTCCCATGGCAGATTTCACGCGCGACGACTGGGAAAAATTTAACAGCGCCTCGCACTGTCACGTGTGCGAGAAACCGTTTACACCAGACGATACGCGAGTACGCGATCACTGCCACCTCACTGGGCGATACAGAGGCCCCGCGCACTTCAAATTGTAATTTAAATTACCGAGATTCGCGTTGCATACCTGTAGTCTTTCATAACTTATCCGGTTACGACGTTCATTTTATTATCAAGGAAATTGCAACCACGTATGAAGGACGCGTAGATCTCCTTCCAATAACTAAAGAAAAATATATATTTTTTACTAAACATGTCGATAGTACAAAAATTGATCAAAAAAATTGTGTGCAATTACCTACGTTTCATAGATTCATATAGATTTCTCGCTTCAAGTTTGGACAAATTGTCATCTTTTCTCAACAATGATAAGCTGCGGGTACTGCGACGGGAATTTTCCCATTTATCCGAAGAAAATTTTAATCTTTTGACTCGAAAGGGCGTTTTTCCGTACGAGTACATTGACTGCAGCGAAAAATTGAACGAATTACGCTTGCCATCTCGCGAGTAATTTTACAGCTCATTGACTGACAGCACGGTATCTGAGAGTGATTACGCGCACGCCGTCAACGTGTGGCAGC